CAAGTACTCTGTGGAGGAGGAGCAGCGGGCCGGCACGGTGATCGCCAACGTCGCCAAGGACGCCCGGGACGCCGGTTTCGTGCTGGACCCCCGGCAGCCTGCCGCCTTCCGGGTGGTCTCTAACTCGGCCCCCCACCTGGTGGACATCAGTCCCGGGTCTGGGCTGCTGGTGACCAAGCAGAAGATCGACCGGGACCTGCTGTGCCGGCAGAGCCCCAAGTGTGTCATCTCACTGGAGGTAATGTCCAGCTCCATGGAGATCTGCGTGATCAAGCTGGAGATCAAGGACCTCAACGACAATGCACCCAGCTTTCCCACTGACCAAATCGAGCTGGAAATCTCGGAGACTGCCAGCCCTGGCACTCGAGTGCCACTGGAGAGTGCCTACGACCCGGACTCGGGCAGCTTTGGTGTGCAAAGCTATGAGATCACCCCCAATGACCTATTTGGCCTGGAGACCAAGGCACGGGGTGATGGGTCCCGCTTTGCTGAGCTTGTGGTGGAGAAGAGCCTGGACCGCGAGACCCAGTCTCACTACAGCTACATGATCACGGCGCTGGATGGTGGGGACCCGCCCAACTTTGGCACAGTAGAGCTCAGTATCCGTGTCATTGACTCCAATGACAACAACCCACTCTTTGAGGAGCCAGCCTACACTGTCAGCGTGCCTGAAAATGCTCCACTGGGTACTCCGGTCATCCGCCTCAATGCCTCTGACCCGGACGAGGGCACCAACGGCCAGATCCTCTACTCCTTCCACAGCTATGTCTCCGAGCGGGCCCGGGAGCTCTTCCAGATTGACCCCCAGAGTGGTCTCATCACGGTGAGTGGTGCCATTGATTATGAGGAAGGTCATGTCTACGAGCTGGATGTGCAGGCCAAGGACTTGGGCCCTAACTCCATCCCTGCCCATTGCAAAGTGACCATCAGTGTCCAGGATGCCAATGACAACCCACCCCTCATCAACCTGCTCTCTGTCAACAGCGAGCTGGTGGAGGTGAGCGAGAATGCCCCGCCAGGGTACGTCATCGCCCTGGTGCGGGTCTCAGACCGTGACTCGGGGGCCAACGGGCGGGTGCAGTGCAAGCTCCTGGGCAACGTGCCTTTTCGGCTCCAGGAGTATGAGAGCTTCTCCACTATCCTGGTGGATGGGCGGCTGGACCGGGAGCAGAGGGACCAGTACAACCTCACCATCCAGGCCAAGGACAATGGCGTCCCATCCCTGCAGGCCACCAAGTCCTTCACTGTCAAGATCACCGATGAGAATGACAACCATCCCCACTTCTCCAAGCCCTATTACCAGGTCATTGTGCAGGAGAACAACACCCCGGGGGCCTACCTCCTCTCGGTCTCAGCCAGAGACCCTGACCTGGGCCTCAATGGCAGTGTCTCCTACCAGATAGTGCCCTCCCAAGTCAGGGACATGCCTGTCTTCACCTATGTTTCCATCAACCCCAACTCTGGAGATATCTATGCTTTGAGGTCCTTCAATCATGAACAGACGAAGGCCTTTGAGTTCAAGGTCTTGGCAAAAGACGGGGGTAATCCCTCTCTGCAGAGCAATGCCACTGTCAGGGTGATCGTCCTGGACGTCAACGACAACACCCCCGTGATCACGGCCCCACCGCTGGTCAATGGGACTGCGGAGGTGTACATCCCCAGAAATGCGGGGGTCGGCTACTTGGTGACGGTGGTCAAGGCAGATGACTATGACGAGGGTGAAAATGGCAGACTTTCGTACGAAATGGTGGAAGGAGACAGAGGATTTTTTGAGATAGACCAGGTCAATGGAGAGATAAGGACCACCAGAGCCTTTGGGGAGAACGCAAAGACAGCCTACGAGCTGATTGTGGTGGCTCACGACCATGGGAAAACATCTCTCTCGGCTTCTGCCTTGATTTTGATATACCTGTCTCCAGCCCTGGATGCCCAGGAGTCCATAGGATCTGTTAACCTCTCCCTGATTTTCATTATTGCCCTGGGGTCTATCGCAGCCATTCTTTTTGTCACCATGATCTTCGTGGCAGTCAAGTGCAAAAGGGATAACAAGGAAATCAGGACCTACAACTGCAGGTAAAGACATCTTTGTTTCCGTGCAGCTGCAGGTCTGCTTGGATTTTTGCCATCATAGTTACTTTTCCATTTGCTGCTGTATACTTGGTGGGGGAAGGGGGTGATGGTGGTAAATTTGCTGTGAGAACAAAAGTGAGGTTCACATCCCTCTAAGGAAATTTTTATGCTTTAAAAAAGCTCTCTTCTGTGAGGAGAGCAGCAACCTGTGCTGATTTACGAATTGACTTAATTGTGCGGCTTGACAATCTGTTGCAGCATCCTTGATTTTACACGCTCCTTCACAGGAAGGGGGGAGAACAGTTTTATAGCATCAGGGCTGGTTCCCGCGGGGAGCCCCCCATCCCCAGCGCAGCTTGCCAGCGGGGGAAGCTCCCCCAAGCCCACCGCAGCATCCCCGCAGCAGACAGGGCGAGTGTCTGCCGTGGCATCCGCAAGCCCTCTCTCGTCGTTCAAAAGAGCCATTGTGCGCCCGATGCGGCTCCTCGCCACGGCTGATGATGGGGCCAACTGGATCAAACAGTGGCGAAAAATCAGCCAGTTCGCCCCGACGCGCTGCTCCAGCCGCTGGCGTGGCCGGTTGGGCTGGGGGCGACGTTGTGAGGGCGGATTTTTTGCAGCGCTGCGTTATTTTGCCCTGGCTGGATGCGTGCTCCTGGGTCCGAAATGCCGGAGGGGAGGTCAGCCCCGCGCCCGGAGTGGCTGAAAAGCTGATAGGGGAAATCCAGTCCCCTGAATATGTAACAGCCCGGCGATTATTGTCTCTCTTTTACTATTCTCTGTGTTACACAAGTTAGGAGACAAATGCTAACCACACATGAATATCAATCAGATGCCATAAAAGAGCAGCTGCAATGCCTCATAAATGGTTTAATCCTGTTACTAGTGAAGTAGCCATGACTTCTTCATTCCTTCAGCACTGAGTCGTTTCAGAGGGGAAGGATGGAAATTAATTTTGCACTACCTTGGAAACGCTCACTGGCCTCTGGCAATTCTGCAGCGCAGGGGGTTGTGCAGTCTTTTAAAGTTTTATTTACGTGGAAATAATGCTGAAGAGTTTGGTTTTTACACCCTGTTTTCACAGTGTAAAGTGAGTTTATAAGCCTTTTTTTGCTTGATGGGGGAAAAATCATCTGCAAATAAAGGTCGGTCTGTGCTCTATTATGGGAAGTGAAAGCTCATATACCAGATTTCTTGCCGGCTCGGCCCATTAAATGAGAACAGGACCTGAATGAATACAAATGACATTGTAGTGGTGCCCCTAAGAGCTTCGCACATATGTATAAGCCCTGGGTTTACTGTGATGGCTTAGGGATTAATGAAGTGCAGTTTAATTAAATAATTGGTCAATAGAGAGAGGACAGCAAAATGAGTGCCTGCAGGAAATAATTGGGCTCTCACATTGCCAAACTTAAACATTTAGGTAAACAAAACAATTAAAGCTTCATCAAGCATTGTTAGACGAGTCAGCAGCATATAGATTGTTGGCACAACACAAGTCCCTGCCTTCCCATGATTTATTTGCACACTCAGGGGTATGCGCGGCTGTTATCAGTGTGCAGGAGACGCTGCAGAGGCAGGGATACACCAGGTAGGCTCAACAGCAGCTGTGGCCATGGGGCACCCTCTCCCCGCGCTGGATGCTTTGCCAGTGTCTTATTTTAAATGTTCCTCCCAGCAGCTGCTCGAGAATCTTTATAAAATGTGTAAATTTATGAGGCACATCAGGTTATACAGGAGCTGTTCGACTTGGTGGCATTGTCATGCTCAGGCAGTCAACTTTCTGGAAGAAGAATATTTGTCCAATATTTGCTTTTCTAGATAAACTGTATTATTTATTAATCCCATTATTTCCCATTATTTCTGTGGCAGCTATTGGATTTTTATATTTTCTTTTCTTTTCTTTCTTTCTTTCTTTTTTTTTAAATACTGAAATAATAATAAGAAGAGGAGCAAAGTCCTGACTTTCAAATATGTATTTCTGACTAGGGGTAGCATCTGATGTGCTTCTCTGGGAAATAATGAGCTGCCCAGTGCTGTGCATGCACAGATTCATCTGGGGGGCATTGGCTGAGGCTGTGTTGCTCTCGAAGGAAAGAGGAGCCACAGTCACTCTGAGCCGAGCACACCCAGTTAGTGCAATGCGCAGTCATATTTGTCGTTATTTGCTCAGGTGGTGTTTTACAATAACTTTTTTCCTCTAGTGTTTTGCAGCAGGCATTCAAGGCACTTTGTCACTTGATTCTTTTGGCAGGTGGGAAGCAAAGAGGGAAAGAAAGGCAGAAAAAAACAAGCTTGCAGTAAAAAAAAAAAGGTCAAAAAGGATCATTTCTCTTTGCAAAACAGAGTTGTTGTTCTCCAGTTTCTAGAAGATGAAAACATTTTCCAGCAGAAGGGGGGGGTGTGTGTCAGGGGGAGAGGGAGGAATAAGATGCAGTTGGAGAAAAGATTTCAAGTTATCAGGTATTATCAGGAGACAGTCAAAATACCAGCAATTTGGTTAAAGCATTAATAAACAAACAGCCTTTGGAGTGTGAGAGAACAGAGTGTGCCAGCTAGGACTGCTCCTGGGTCTGCCTTATTTACTGCTACGGAAAATGAACTGGGAAAAAAATCCACTATTCATTTTGAGTTTTCATTAGGACACCAAATTAAATCACTTTTTAAATCCTTATTATGCATGGAAATTAATGCAGGTACACTTTTCAGTTCATGGATTTTAACATCTCCATTTTTCTCTTCTGCAGGCTGGACTTTACTCCCAGTAACTAAATACCAGCAATTATAAACACTAGAAAAACACAGAGGCATTCTTCCTTCCCATTATTTTTCATATTTGGTCTGAAAGCATTATACATATGAAAATAAGCTAAAGACTGTGTCATACCACCAGACTCAAAACATGACGTAATGTGCATGATTAAGAAGCCTGCACAGAGATGGGGGCCAAGCCCTCTGGGTTTCTGCGCGTGTATTTAGCAGGGCAGGGTTCGGAATGCTCCCAACTATTCATTTTCCTTCTGTCCCCCAGAATTGCAGAATACTCCTATGGGCATCAGAAGAAATCAAGCAAGAAAAAGAAGATCAGCAAGAATGATATCCGGCTGGTACCACGGGATGTGGAAGAAACAGATAAAATGAACGTTGTGAGCTGCTCCTCTCTCACTTCATCCCTCAACTACTTTGACTACCACCAGCAGACCCTACCACTGGGCTGCCGCCGTTCTGAAAGCACCTTCCTCAACGTGGAGAGCCAGAACAACAGGAACGCCGGCTCCAACCACATTTACCATCACACCTTCACGGGGCAGAGCCCCCAGCAGCCCGACCTCATCATCAATGGGATGCCGCTGCCAGAGGTGAGTGCGGGTGGGCAGCCTGGGGCATTGCTAACAGGTTTGTGCCCAGACTGCAGCATGCAGGTCTGTTGGCATAAGCGCTGCTGACACAACGCATCAGGTGGTTTCTGTGCACTGGACACCCTGGAGTGAGGGAGTGGTAGAGGATGGTCAAGGGGGAGTAGTGGGCACCCACCTTTTGGGCTCCGGGGCAGTCCTCACATGTGGTCGTGGGTGGATGTTTCACCTCGAGACACCACAGAGACCCCCAGAAGTGCCCAGGTGGAGATGCTGGCATGGCCGGCCAGGCCAGGCCGCCTCCATGCTGCCAGGAGGCTGGAGGTTGCTGCTTTGCAAGTGGATTCTGAGTGTGGTGGTGCACAAGGGAAGAGTTGCTCATTGCCTTCACGGGAGGTTTATAAAAGGCTGTTGAAAGTGGTGTTGGTGGCCATTGCTCTGGAGTCAGTAGGTTTTGCTGGGGATGCAAACAGTGGAGAGCGCCCCTGATGTTACTGCCTGTACGCCTGGCCCCGTGCTGTCCTTCTCTGTGCAGAACGGGCACTCACCAGCTGGCATGGGAGGGATGCAGTACCTGCCAAAGGCAGGGAAGGGAACTGCTCTGACCCACACCATCCTCATCAGGTTCTTCTAATTCATTGGCTTTCCTGTACATCACAGGCATCATTTAGTGTTACTTGTTTGTTTCTCTTTGAATTATTGTTTGGTATTAAGCAAAACAATCAAAGGTTTGTCATGTTTCCTGCTTTGAACGGAATAACAAAGCTGAAATAGCAGCTAAAATATTTATGGCTTGCTCTGTTTTGCGTTCGGTGTGCTGGTGTAAATGCAAAATGATGCTGCTCAAGGCAGTGGAGCTGCTTCAGATTTATCCTTGCACTATGGAGAACAGAGCCCAGCCCTCTGCAAGTGTCTGCAGGGCTGCTGGAGAGGGTTGATGTCGACAGCCCTGATCCAGCACCATTTCTTTCTTTCTTTGGCAAAATATGTGTTGAACCATGGTGTTTAACCTCTCGTAAGGCCACAGAACCAGCTCCCGAGAAGTCACGTATGATTGTTGGCCCAGTTTTGGGGTGCTCCCAGCCCAAATGCCCTCCCTCCCAGCCTCTCCTGCCTTTGCATGCCCAGGCTCCTTGCCGTACGGCATTGCCTTTTCAATGTTACCCATGGAGATGCTGCGAGGAGGCAACTTCTACACCAGTGCACCAGCACAGCCCAATGCAGCTGCCTGTAGGTGCGAGGGGTAGGAGCCTTATCTGCATTTGGGAAGGTATGGTGGGGGCAAGAATTAAAGCTTGTTTTAACTTCTGTCCGTTTAAAAGTGGTAGTAGGGTTTCTTAGCAGTAACTGAATGGCAATGGACATGAGCACTCATATATTCTACTTGTACGTGTCCAGCCATAGAGCTGGGTGGGCTCTGATGCTCACCTGTGCTCTTTGTGGAGAACCAGTTGAGGCTCAGGGTGCACAGCTGCCTGGGGGATGCATCCCAAGACTGTGAGTGACCAACATCGTTGCAATGCTGGGGGCAGTGATCCCTGAGGAATTCCTGCCTTCCTGGAGCTGGGTCATTTGGAGAGGGGTCTTGGGGGTGTTTCTGGCTGGTCCCTTGCTAAGGGCACTGAGCAGTGGAGCACCCTGTCAGCTTGTGATTCATTGCCACAGACAAAATTCAGTCATAAAATCCATCACACATCGGCATTAGCTGGAAGTCCGTGCCAGCAGCAGGAGGTCTGTGGTGCCAGAGGGAGGGAAGGACCATCAGGAACATTATGGCTCATCTGATGAAGTTAACAGGCAGCTGTGGGCAGAAGGCAGGACTGCCCACATTCCTCCCTGACACAGCAGTTAGCCTGAGGTCCAGCAGGATGGGGGTCCCCAGAGACCCCCACTGCGCACCCTCCTGTGAGGGAACCAGGACGCTTCTTTGTTCTCCCTGTGTCTGCAGCTTGCCCCATTTCCCTGTCACTCGTGCAGGTAGGATGTATTGCAAAGAGCTAGTATCTTGCCTTGAGAAATAAATTTGTCTCTTTTAACGAGTGTCATGGAGTGTCAGCTTAAAATGTGCCCTCTAGCAGCCCTGCAGGCATGCAGGGGGGCAGCTGACAGCTCTCCAGCCCTGCCTGGGGACCAGCAGCTCTCCAGGGGTTGCTCTCGGAGACAGCAGCATGTCCTGGCAGGGGACTGCTTGCTCCCTGGGGTTGCTTTTGGACAAAAGGGCAGGGCCAAGTCACGGGGGAGGAGAAATCCCAACTGGAAGCTGCTTGGAAGTTTGCTTTAGGGTGGGAACTTTTTTTTTTTTGGCAGAGAGCCTCTGTGTAATGCTTCCAGCTGTTGTAAGGGAAGTTATCCCACTGGCAGTGTGGGTTCAACTGGCTCGTAAAAATCCTGAGGGTGAGTAGGCCTAGCAATGACCAGAGTGACAGACCTGTCCCAGCACACAGAGTGACACAGAAACTCTGTAAAAATTGTTTCCATGGAGGAGCATCGCAGTATCGTGCCCACCATCACCCATTGCTGCCTTAGTAGATGCTGCTGGTGTGATGATATGCGTATGAAGTGTCCTACTGGTACACCTCCACGTGGTGATGATTTAATAAACTAAATTTCTGCCCATGTCTGGAGTTCCCAGAGCCAAACTGTTCCTTGCAGCGCATCCAGTGGGACTTTCTCTGAGCTGGTTTGAACCGCCTCCAGTGATGAGGCCGCTGGCATTTCCCCCGGGAGCTTTTACGAGGTGTCAGCATTGGGGAGATATTGCTGCTGCTCCACCTGGGAGTGACTTTTCCTGATGGGAAGGCAAAGCATTGGTTGATAAATGATAAAATATGGAGGTAAACGTGTTGCTGGCAGTGTCACTTAGCGTGTGATGGTTGTGGCTGGGAGGAACTGATTGCCACTGCAGATGCGTGCTGTCCTAGCAGTGGTGGGTTTGCAGCGTAGCTGGTCTTTAACATGAGGCTCATTTACTTCAACAGTCAAGAACTTGGAAATAAAGTCCCCAGGGATGGGTTGTTTGTGGAGCTTCAGGAGCTGTTTCCTCTGCGGCGTGGTGGCGGTATGTGCGGTGGCAGGTCTCGGGGCTGGTGGTGCCAGTGGTAATTGGGCTTGTAGGTGCTCCCCACCTTTCCCTGCTGATCCAGAAAATATTAAAATGTCATGGCTGTGAGGGCTGCAACCCTGCTCTGAGGATGCAAGAAAAGTTTGAGACAACCCTTGAAAAGCTTTTCCCTTCAGGTGGAAACTGGACTGAGCTGCTGGCTCTGCTTGTGCCAGGGCATGGCTGCCAAGAGAGCATCGGGAGGTGGCAGGGAATGTCTGGGGGAGTTCTGGCCCTGCTGGGACTCGGTGGTCCCTTGGGTGCTGAGGTGCCACTAAGGGGCCCTGCCCACAGCCTTTTAGCATCCTCGTGGCTGCAGGCAGCGATGGCAAAAAGCTTTTGTAAGCGGCTCTGATGAGCATGGCTGACAGCAGGAGGCTTGGCCCCCGTTAGTATTTTGGCTTGTTTTGCAGGAGGGAGAGTGGGACATGTTTGAGCTGCAAGGGCATTGCCGGTCAGAGGCTTTGCTGCTGCTGAGGGCTTTTTTTTTTCTTCCTGCCTAGCTGGAGGAGAAGTCAGCTTTGAAACCAAAAGGGCTTGTTGTCAGGTTTTGCATGTATATTACTGGAAGTTGTATCAGGAGATTAAAAATCAAAATTAATAGGAGTGATTAGGCAGCTTCCTTGATAAAAATGCATGTTGCATTGGGATGGTTTGGAAACTGGTCTGAATGCTGAGCCTTTTTGGATCCCCAGGACACGACTTGCATGTAGAGCAGCCACCCTTGGGTAACACTTACATGCCTGGATTTTGACTTCATGGTTTTAAAATAAAACAATGTGTATGTAATGGCTGCATCTGTGTTTCAGAGACAGTTTTACATCCAAAATCTGCTCTACTTTGAGAAACAGTGCCAAAGCATCGTGTGCTGCCCTGACATGGAGAGCATCCCCTGGGGCATGGTGGCTTGTTCTGCCCCTCAGTGTCACGGCCATTCCCTGGCAGCACCAGGTGTGGGAGAGGTGAGGAGGTGTGAAATGGAAGTGAGCAAGTCTCGTTTGAGAGGTTGGATGTCCAAAGGTGGAATTGGTGGGGAGGTTCAGGACCGGCTCTCTCTGGGGGTCCAGGATGGCCCCATTGCGGCAGCGGTGCCATGAGCAGGGTGTGGGTCAGGCATGGCCCTGCTCTGGTGCAGGGTTGGTAGGCCCCGATGGAGAAGGTCAAGGTGAAGCAGCCAGTGGTCCACCAGGACTCGAGTTCTTCGGGGACCCGCCTGCCTGATAACCCGCAGCCCCGGCACTGGGGATGTTGTGGCTGTGGTGACCCACCATCTCTTGAGCTGGTGGCCACCATCAGTAAGATGGGGAATTACTGCTTTTAGTGATAATTGTGATCTAATCCCCCAACCTTGATACACTTCCATGTAATCCTCACTCACACTGATTTCATTTGGGCTCCTTGTGGCAGCGGGGATTATTTAAGTGAGCAACAGTTGCAGGATAAGGCCCTGGTGGTTTCAGATATGCTTTTTACTACCTGGAAAGCGTTCTCCTCACTGTAGGAAATGGTTTTCTAAGCACAATAGAGCAATTTTCGTTTCAGGCGGCACCGGCAGCTTTTGCTGTGGCTATCTGGCGGTGTTAACTAAAGTACATTTCTTCAACACACAAAGATTTTTGTTTTGTAAGAAATGAAATCAGCGTGGCTGTTCCTCTCTCTCTGTCATTTCTCTACTTGTCAATTCTTTCTTCCCCTCCAGCTTATCCTCCTCTGCTAGCCTTAAAAAGCCCCCAAAGTGTCTGTTATAATCACATTTTGTGTGTTACAACCAGAATGAATGTACTCACTTTAATATGCTGGGTTTGAGGAAATCAGTTTCTGTCTGGTATTACAGACAATTTGTTATAAACCATGCCATTTAGAAGTGAAGGGCCTTCCTTTAGTGTAACACTGGGGAAACGTC